GTCAAAAATAAATTGTTATTATTATTTTCTTTTTAAAGTACTAGTAAGAAGTAACAAGTTTTTTTGAAATCAAATTTTGAATTTTTTGGGCTTTTATTGAGCTTGTTTCCTACATTGTACATTTGCATGTATATGACTTCCAGACAGTTGGATTGTCAGTCCAAAAAATTCTGTTTCGTAGTGGAAACATACCTGTAGAGTTCTTTGCTTGATCCACAGCAGTCTTCTGTGAACACTGTCATGCAATCACAGAAAAACAACCATGCCCAATTTTCTGGAATCACCAGAGATTATTTAGAAAACAGGTTTTCCAAGGATCAACTTTTTTTTTTGCAAAACAATCCTTTGATTCCAATTCTAATTCTAATTAATTTTGTCAAAATTCTTTTCCCCTTGCAACCCTTGTCTTGAATACATTTTTGCACTTTAGCATTATTTAAAAGAAAAAGTTTGTTAAAAGTAATTTCACTTTTTAAGATGACCATTGTGACATGACATGACCATCAGTATGTTTTCCTTCATAGAGAAAATTTCCCAAGCCATTTCAAGTTCAAAGAATATTGCCCTTTAGTCTTCAGACAGCTTAGAGAACGTTTTGGTATTGATGATAACCAATATGCAGTAAGTAGCTAATTTGTCATACTGTAATGTTTCTGATTGGTTTTCTGTGAAATGGTACATCTCATAACTGAGAAATAAACAACTGGGGATGTTACCTTGATATGTACATTGTACCACTAAGTTCTTAGAATCCACTGTAAGAAAAATGATGGTAACTGGTACTTTTGTCCATAATTCTCAGTGCACAAAAACTTTAACAGCGCTCATAAATGTACAGAAAAGTTTTAAAACCTTCAAACCTAATATACACAATGTCGTTAGTACCAGGACAAATATTGCAAAAATAAGGCTTTCCGTGTACTTCATGGGCTGTGGAAGGCTCACATGGTATATAATACCTTTTGTGGTAAAATGTACAGCCATCACTTTTCTTTAAACAGAGGACTGTACATGTATTTATGTCAGTCTGTAAACCAGGGAAACTTTGTGTAAATCAGGCTACTTTTTATTCACGTTGATTTTTTGCAAGTAATTTTATTGTCTTTTTGCTTATTCTTCCCACTCGCCACATTTTTCATACTGAATTTTCTTTCCTTGGTTCATGTCAACGCCTTGTACCTGTGTAATTATATAATGATCCTAAAATCCTGAACAAGCGCTTTTCTGGTGTGTTGCAGGCATCTTTTCAGTCATCACCTTTGGTCATTCCCTCACCTGGTCGCAGTGGTGCAAAGTTTTTTATCTCCAAAAACAGGAAGTTCTATGTCAAAACAATAGAAGGTGAAGATATTGAAAGACTTCACAACATTCTTCCACAGTATCACCATGTGAGTTGATCAATGTTGTTACAAACGGGAGAAGGCAGATGTAGTCCTAAATTCTGTTAGTAACTTTGAAGTGAATTTGCATTTTCCTCCCTCTTGTAATTCTATACATTGTTACATATACTATAAATGTTTTTTTAGAGTTGAAAGTTTGAACCAGTAATGTGAATAAATTATCAACTTTAATTACGAAATAGAAACATATGCTTTGTTTCTATTGAGGTGGGAATTTGGAAGAACAAGAAGTACTGTGGGGACATGAGCCAATAGATGAGTGTTTCCACGGATTTTGGGAGTTCTCCCAAACTTTCACAAGTGTTTCCATAACACAAAGAAAATGTTATATACTGTATCTTTTTTTAGAAAACAGCCCACAGAAAATAGCAAACAATGTGACTACTGTACTACAACTTGTCTGTGTTTCTATATATAGATTGAAACAGGATTTTTAACCAATCAGCACACCTATTTTCTTGGGGCTATTTTTTTAAAAAATTATACTCCAGTACATAAGTATACCTGTATTCTCTTTCAGTACATTGTAGAAAAACATGCAAAGACACTGTTACCACAGTACTTGGGTGTGTATCGGATTACTGTGGACAACAAGGAGACCTACCTTTTAGTAATGAAGAGTGTATTCAGCTCTAAGTTCAAGATACACAAGAAGTACGACTTGAAGGGCTCAACAGTAGACAGACAAGCCAGCTCCAAGGAAAAGGTGGGATTGTCTGTTAAGTGTCCATAATATTTGCTTTGATTTTAAAAATAATTCAGGGTAAGTTTGGGTAACTTACCCAGAAGATGACCTAGTGTCGAAAATGTTTGATGTTTTTTACTTTTTAACTTTTTTAGCCTTGTAAATACAAATTGTTTTATATGTTAAGTGTTTGCAAACAAAATACCATTGATTGGTTACTGAATATAAATCACAAAGCCTGTATCAGAGTTAGATGTCACATGGAAAATCTCATTCATTTGGTGCTTGACTTTGGTTTCTCAGAGCTCAAAGTTCAGACTACAAGTGCTTGTCTCCCTGGTTGATAGTCCAGCCCTTTGAAATTTAGTGTCTGAATAAAAACTGTGTTTAAATAAATATCTAAGTCTGGTGATTATTTGAAAATTGCCCTTAGTGATCCATTCCAGTAAATCAAAAGGTGAGTTTGTCGGGAGGGGCTGGGAGCAGAATAATCTGTATGAAAACCAAAGAGAATTGGCCTGTCGTGTGTCACACTTTCAGGGGTTTAATTCATTAACATTTTCAGCAGGAGGGTAACTGGTTTTCACAGGCGGGCAAAAGAAATGATCTTAAATTCTTCATAAGAAAAACTTTCCACCAGGTGGTCAAAATCATCTTCACAGCCTGTCAATTTGCTTGGTGCCAGGCCCTTAATGAAATGGGTGTCCAGGCATCCTGTGGACGGCCACGTTTCAAAGAAACTTGTTTAATTTTTGATATGTTGCTTTATAAATTGCTCCTTTGAGCAGGCCCTATAGCACATTTTGGACACCCACTTTTCCAATCCCGGCTAAAAGCCTGTCTTTACATGTGTACCCACAAGTGAGTAATATGATCTAATTAATACAAACTTATGGGAGGACATCAAAAGTGTGCTATTGATGTGTAGTACTGTTTTAAAACTTGTTTTGGCTTTTTTCAGACAAAGGAGAATCCTACCTTCAAGGACAATGATTTCACAAAGGACAATGCAAAGCTACGCATTGGTGATGATGTCAAGAAAGACTTGCTACAAAGAGTCAAGGATGACGTAGAGGTGAGCTTACTTGTCGTTTAAACTGTTAGCGTTATGATACAGCTACAGTGTATGTCTTCTTGTACACAAGGGAGGTTGTACACTAAACACAACATGGTTATCTGAACTTGCTCCATATGCTTCCTTCCTGGTGTACACTCATCAGGCAACTTTTGCCGAGATGTTAACGGCAAGAAAAATAACCAGACTATAACTCAAAAGCTTTGTTGTTGTTGTTGTTGTTGTTTTTTTCATGCAGTTTTTAACAAGTCTAAACATAATGGACTACAGCCTACTGGTGGGCATTCACGATGCTGAAGCTGGGAATGATGTTGACGACGTCTTAGAGGGTATAGACAGTAATGAAGACAGCGAACCTGAGTCTCCTCGTGAGGCTGACTCACCCCAAGAATCCGACTCCCCCGGAGAGGCTGAGATGCCGCTATCTGATACCCCTCCCACTACCCCTCCCGCTAATTTTAATGGTGCACGTGAGAGAAATATCAGTTTTGGCAGTAATGAGCTTGATGAGAGGGAGGATGATGATGATACAGAAGGCTTTCAAAGCATAGATGGTAGGTTTAATAAGTTGCTGGTAGGAATAAACAGTGACTCTGGCTTTCTGTCACAAATGGGTGTCCTGTGGACATTTATATTTGGAGATTCTTTATTGAAGAATAATAAGCAAATCAGAAATCTTCAACTGGATTTGCACTCAAAGCTGCAAAAATTTCTACTCTGCATTCTTCAATTTGCAATTTTTTTCAGTAGTACACCTCCACAACCCCGATAGGATGATAAAGTTTTAGATCCCATATGATATTTTGTAACCGCACTTTTCAAATCCTGCAGAAAATCTAAATATTTATGTATAAACCCTTGGGTGACAACGATTATGGGGGAACCGTAAATATAAACCTCCTCTTAAATTCCCTCTGGTTGCAAAAGAGGAGAAAAATGTTCCGATCCTGATTTAATCTTCCATTGCAGAAAACAGACGAGAGTTATATTACCTTGGAATCATAGATGTGTTGACATTTTATGGAGCTGGAAAAAAGGCTGCACATGCCGCTAAAACAGTGAAACATGGGGTGAGTACCAGTTTTCTCCCAGTGTGGCTCAATATGTGTAAAAACATATTTACAGCAGAGTCTGAGGTAATGATAGTGGTCATACCACTACATAATTTACTGGATAGTTAACTCAGAATTTTGTCAGAGACCTTACATCACCCACCCGTGCTTACCCCTTCCCTTCTGCCCCAACCTCAAAGCAAGGTGTTCAGTATTCAGAGGGGGTTGGAAATTGGGAAGGGGTGTCAAGAAACAAGAGAATCTTTTGGACCACTTTGGTTTTGCAAATAAGTAATGCCTGTCAAATCCTTGCTGAATGAGGTAAGCCAGCTGTTCTTAACTCGGTTGAAATTGAATTTTGGAGTGAATCTGATTTTGAGTAATATTGAACTCTTTATTTGTTAATTATTTTTGAGACTTGAAAGTACACTTCAATATTTCAGTTCTATAATAAGACCACACTATTGCTTGAGCACCATTTTAGTTATGTTCACTTGCCGGATGTTTATTGTACAGGGTTATACATACATACATACAAACTTTTGATGCTCCCTAAGTGGGTTTTTCAGATCAATACAATTACAATATTAAGTCAATTAAGTCAGTTATAAAATTCCACAAGATTTAGTTGTCATTCCTGGATTGCCCAGTCTTTCAATATTTGGTGATTGACCTTCTGGCAAAGTGGTTAAAACTTTGATGAACTGAATTTCTAGAATGTTTCATCCAATTTATTTGAAGTTGCTTTTCCACAATCTAAGTATTTTACCTTTGAGATATTGAGATACTGAGAAATACAATGTATAGTGTTATGTCCAAAAGCCCTTTAGGGACAAGAAGTGTTAGTTCAGTTTTGACCTGTCTCAGGGTTGACGGCTTAATGGTTCTTGCACTGGACTCCAGATCAAACAGTCTGCATTTGAGCCATGGCCAGGGACATTGTGTTGTGTTCTTGGGCAAGACACTTTACTCTCATTGCTGTGCTCCATCCAGGTGTATAGATGGGTACCAGCAAATTTAGTGCAGGGGGTAACCCTGTGATGCTAACTGTCTCGGGGTTGACGGCTTAATGGTTCTTGCACTGGACTCCAGATCAAACAGTCTTGGTTTGAACCATGGCCAGGGACATTGTGTTGTGTTCTTGGGCAAGACACTTAACTCTCATTGCTGCTCTCCATCCAGGTGTATAAATGGGTACCAGCAAATCTAGTACAGGGGGTAACCCTGTGTTGGAATAGCATCCAAACCAGGGAGGAGCAGAAATACTCCTAGTTGCTTCATGTTACAGATGGGCCACTGGGCTCCATTGCCAACTTTACCTTACATTTGCCTTACCTCCCAAACTAACCAAATTTTGTTTTATGTGGTAAATGTAAAAATGATTGATAGAGGTAAAGTCTGCATACGAGCCAAGTGGCCCATCAGGCCGGAGCTTATCCCAGTTTCTGTAGCATGAAGCGACTAGGAGTATTTCTACTCCCCCTTG